CTAAACCCTAAACCCTACCCAAAACCTCTAAACCTCCAACTCGGGCTCAAACTACCCATGCCAGGAGCAAGTCGCCGTATCACTCCAAGACCTTAGCTGGGTTGTGCCCTGGCGGGTTTAGGGTTTAGGGTTTTAGGGTTCAGGGTTTAGGGTTTTTTTGTATTTTGGGAACCTGATTAAGAAGCCCTGGCCCCATAACCCCAAAATAGTAGCATCCCTATAAAGAAGCCCAAGAACGACCCGAGGCTTCTTAATCAGGTTCCTACATGTGCCACTATAGGTTTCGGAGCTGAGGGCTTTGGCTTTGGGAGGTCAGGTTGAGGCTTTAGGGAAAAACGGGTTTAGCTTTAAAGTTAAGTGTTCGTCATTCTGGCATCTATAGGCTTCGAGGGGGTTTGGGTTTAGGATTGTTGGGGTTTAGGCCCTAAACAAATGCTGAAGTAATGATAAAGACACCATAATTAACCCATATGATCAAGACACGATGAAGAATTTGCAAAAAATATGGGTTGGTTTCCAATCTGTATAGGCCAAAAAACCTCTTAACTTTAGAGATCTAGGCGCGTGAGATACTGAATAGCCAAGTATAGGTCGCCTTCAACCTTGCTTTTGGGTTTTAGGGTTTAGGGTTGAGGGTTTAGGGCAGAGGGTGGGGTAAGCCAATTCCATCCACTTGCAAAACACTAAACACTCAACTAAGCCCTGAACCCAAGTCCCTGAACGCTCAAGGTCTTCCGCATGAGCAGGGAGGCTGCAGCTCAGTTGCAAGGGCCGCTGTCTCAGTCCGGATGTGTAGGAAGGGTTACAGAATTAGGGGTAGGATTTAGGATTTAGGGGCTTCAGGGGTTTAGGGGTTCAGGTTTTTAGGGGTTTAGGGGGTTGTTAGGGGCTTAGAGGGTTTAGGGTCTAGGGGTTAGGGAGTGGTGCTTTCTCTAAGGGCTCCTTCTTAGCGTTACTTTTCTGTGTTCCTTTAAACTGGTTCCACACCCCTAAACCCTTAACCCTAAACCTTAAACCCTAAACCCTAAAACCCTAAACCGGGGTTCAGGGTTTGGTTAGATTTCTGTAAGGCGGCCTGAGGGTTTAGGAGTAGGGCTCCTTTAAAGGGTTTAGGGTTTAGGGTTGAGAGTTTTAGGATGTATGGTTCCTTTAAAAGGATCTACAAGGGCTCTAGAAAGGAGTCAACAAGGGTTCTATAAAGGGGCTTATAGGGCTCATAGGGTTTATAGGGTTAGGGTTTAGGGTTTAGGCCTAAGTACAGTACTTACCAAAAGTGTTTTTTAGGGTTCCTTTCTGTATTGGTACTATAAAGGAGCCCGATGCCCTGTTGTAATTATGAAGGCCCCTACATTCGTTTCATTGAGCTTACCTGGTGTTCAAGTCGCGTGACTCAGAGGAGCACGAAGTCATGGTTCAGTGGCTCCTCTTGTTCTGGCCATGGGGTTTACAAGGGTTTAGGGTTCAGGGTCAAGGTCCAAAGATTCTGGCGAAGGCGGGCCCAGTTGAAGCACCACGTCGTCTCGGAAAGGATCCAATCCTACGAGTCCTCGACTGAAGGGGAGTACCAGCCCTTGCGCTCAAAGGTTACGACATCGAGAGTATCCAGGCTCAGGCACCCTGCAAGATGCATGCCATCCTCGGGGCCACGTACCGAGTGGCCATCGACAAAGACAAGCATGCTGGCAAGACTGACCCTAAAAACCCACAAAAACCTGAAAAGGGCTAAGGGTTTGACTCGGTACCGTTTTCTGTGCCAAGACAGCACCTAGTGGTGCTGCACAGGAGACATGGACGAAATATTGTATTGCGGGGTAGACGCGTCACAGTCTCTCTCTCAAATCCACCCCTGCGAGGACGCGCCTGCGACGCAGAGTTGTATTGCCTGCATGAGAGGTTGGCTATATGGGAGTTTCCGAAGATTAGGGTACCCTATTTTGGGGTCCTTATAATAAGGATCCTATTATTTGGGGTAGTATATTAGGGTCCCCTATTTTCGGAAACCCCCATATGGAGCAAGAGAGCGGAGGATTGGCCAATCCTAAACCCTCAACTCTCGACCGTAATTCTGAAACCTAGGCCCTTATCTCTAAACCGTAAGCCTTCAAACCCTTAAACCACCAAACCCGAGAACAAATTCGGAAACCAATCTGAGGGTTTACACTATGGTAAACCCCAAAAAGTTGGAAACCGGTTTAAGGACAAATAGTGCTGGGGTTGCTTATACATTGCTCTTAGGGATTGAGGCTATTGGGTTTCCAACTTTTGGGCTTCTACTGTAATGTGTGGCAGCCGAAGCCGACCGCGAGATTCGATCCGTTTCGAGGAAGTCCCACCCACAAGCCTTGAGCCAACGCGCATAGGGACCCAGAGACTCCAAAACCCCTTAATTAAGGAGTATACCTTAAATCATATCAGGGATCCTATTATGAATTAAGGTATATTCCTTAATTAAGGGGTTTCGGAGTCTCTGGGGAGCCCTGATCTTTGTGTAAACCTTGAGGTTGCGAGCAATGCTCCACTTACTTTTTCGGCTTTTCTGCCCCTTCCTCAGTGACAGTGGTGCTTGGAGGAACAGGGCCCTATAAGCATTCTTTGCAGACTTCAGGGCTTGAGGTTCGAGGGATTTGGCTTTTAGGGCTTTCGGCTGCAGGTCTGGGGCTGAGGGTTTACTCGGGGCTCTAGGGTGTAGAGCTTGAGGCCTGTAGGATTTTGGGACTGTTTACGGTTGTGGCTTTCAAGATTTTGGGCTTTGGGGCTTTGTGGCTTTGATGGGGTTTGGTGTAGGTTGCACGGACAAGGTTGACTTGACAGCACATGTGTCTACAGCATGTTGACAACGTGCTGGACAAGGACAACCCAAGTCGCAACACCCCGAACTCGAAATCATTGAGTACCACCCTGAACCCTCTTTGGCTCCGACTCCTTACTTCTTAAGGTGTACTGGGCCGTTTCAGGAACCCTTAGAAGAATTCGAGTTTCAATCCGTACCAAAAACACTCTTCTGAGACTTCAGGGCCCTATCTATACCAAAGCCCTAGAGAAAGCCTGCAAAGGAGCGCTGTGAAGGAACCCTTGTAAAGGATTCCTTTAAAGGACCCTTTCAAAGGAGCCCTTTACCGGTCTAGGGTTTAGGGTTTCGGGCCCTTTTGAAGGAACCCTTTCAAAGGACTCCATTAAAGCACCCATGTTGTCAGCCCGGGACAACGGACAGAACTTGCAAAGTTGCCAAGGCAGTGATGCAAAGCGCTATGCGGAGCTGGTGAAGGAGGGAGAGGTCCACTGTCTTAAACCTTAAACCCTTGATGAGCTGAAAGCCCTGAAGCCTAAACCTTAAAACGTAGACCCTTCATAAGCCCTAAGCCCTAAACCC